AAAGAGAGAGAGAGAGAGATGGTCAAAAAAATATAAGTGGCATCTACATAAAAGCCCCATATTTTTTATATATTTACTTGTCTCTTAAATTTTAAACAGCCATTTTAAAAGTGGAATTCATCTTTTCATGAATAAATTTATAGCACTAAAATATTACAAATATATAAAAATGTAAAATTTAATTGTTATGTACCTAAAATTTTCTTTATATAATCTATAAATTTGGGCTAGAGTATTTCCACCCAAATTAAGAGAAGAGAGGGAGAGGATAAGCGAGAACTACAGATGGCGGAGCATCAGAGTGAGACTAAGAGAGTTTGTGTTATTGGAGCAGGAGGTTTCATTGCCTCATGCCTTGTGAAGCTTCTCCTCTCCAAGGGCTATGTGGTCCACGACACCCTCAGAGATCCGAGTACCCTATCTCTTTCCTTATCTTTATTTATTTATTTTTTTTATTTTGTTTCTAATTCATGATATGCAATAGCTGTTACAGTCCTATTATTGTTTTTCTCAACATCTTAAGATCACTTTCCCACATCAATTGACTTTTTAGCAGGAATTAAGCAATATTTAGCTTACATCCAGCGGTTACTTTTATGCAGGATTTAAGCAATATTTTGTTTAAACCAAGCCAAATAGAATTTTGGAGACGTTAAATTTGATTCGGTTTTTGCTAGTTTTCATATTAATTAAATTCAAGACTTGTTATCACATGATTTATCATATTTAAGAATCTATTGCCTCGTAAATTTTAAATTTTATTATAAACCATTTTAAATAGTTTTCAACTTTTAATCCTCCGAATACTTACTGAATATGAATTTGTAGAATTTACTAAATCATACTTATGATCTAGGAGTTCATATATTTTCCTTTAATGATTATATTTTGAGCCTTTATATTGAATGGTTAAATGCCTCTATTCCTCTTCCAACATTGATTGCTGTTTTGATAAAATTGGAAGGCTTATCGACCCTTTATTTATATAAGGCAATGAAAAGAATGCCCATTTGAAGAGGTTGGAAAAGGCAACAGAGAACTTGCGACGCTTTAAGGCAGATTTGCTTGACTATGATGCTATTGAGGCAGCCATTTCTAGTTGTGAAGGAGTCTTCCATGTTGCTAGTCCTGTTGTATTAAGTGGAATTACAAATCCGGAGGTATCAAGTGTTTGATTTATGTTTTTGTTGATACTATTCTTTAAACCTATTTGTAGCCCAAATTGCACATTTTCGCTGATAAGAAAAATGTTTTTAGGTGGAACTAATAAGCCTTGTTGTTGTCGGTACAAAAAATGTTCTCAAAGCATGCTCGAGACAAATGTGAAAAGAGTTGTGGTTGTTTCATCTATTACAGCCGTAATATTTAATCCTCATTGGCCGCAAGGTACTGTACTGGATGAGAACTGCTGGTCAGATGAAGAGTTTTGTAGGGCTACAACGGTAATTTATTTACTCAATTTGAGAAGTAGGATACATGGGTTTGAGAAGAAAATCATTTGTGAATATTTTTTGAGGAACAAACGTCCTATTACTTGAAAATTTTTTTTTTAAGCATCCCAATAAAGATAAATTTTTACAAAAAATGATTTTTTTTTAAATGTAATATTAAAAATGACATTAAAAAAATTCCCTAAACTGACAATCATTGTCATATCGTTTC